TCGTTTAGGGGGCAATTGCCTCTATAGAGGCATGCTTTTGAAGCCTGTTTCGCGCTCTTTTGTTTGGTCCAATCAGCGTTGCGAAATTTGCTTTTTGGGGAGAGATGTGAGATTTTGATTTTGTCTTTGTAATAATATTGTTTGGCGAGTCTTCCGTCCCCAAACTCGGGCAAGTAAAGTGGATCGGAGGGAGTATAACCCAACGAGGGAAGGCACAACCTCCCCGTAGTCAGCTCAAGCCCTTCCATTCCTGGTGAGCGCGGGGCGGATGGTTTGGCTCATCTCTGCACACATCAATCCCAGCTGTCATTTGGTTGTGCTGTGACGCCTACACACCAGAAGTACAAATCGACGACATGTTGGATCGAGCAATGAGGTTTCCTCGGATACAGGCCGGGGGGGCAATTGCTTTTATCGCCTCATGCAGCTGCACCACCCGATTTGTATAGTCGCCGCACCATCTCGTCGCGCGGACCTCCACGGCCAACGACCGTAGCCCGTTGGCTGCTTCTACAAGATTCCTCGCGACAAGCTTCATCACATTCCACATCTTGAAATTTGATGACGTAGAGAGATTTTAACGACAACTCTACGATAATGTGCACTTGAATGTGATTAGAATGTCCAATGATCACGACTACACGTGGTCGGTGCATGTCTGTGCAACGATACGACGACTTACGAAGTGCTGATGAGGGAATGCTACAAGAAACGTGTACGCTTGTATATTCAACTGGTTTATCGCGAACCAGCAACATATGGAGCGCAGCCGACCAGCGGCGGATGCGCCACCCGAATCGCTGACTTTGTCAGACTGGGATTTTCCTCACGCAAAGCAGATGCGCTCGACGTCGTTGGTATTAATTTGCATCGTGCTGCTCTTGGCAGTGTTCGCGTCTGCTGACACTCACCTCCGCCATGTCACAATGCCGTTGCTCACGACCCTTAAGGCCGACGCACCCAGCAATACTCACCGCAACAAGGCAACGGTGGAACGATACACGTGATCCTGGAGCGCCCGAACTTCTTTCACAAGGTGGACAACACGTTTCGTAGCATTGGCTACCATGTCAAGAAAACAGTGGAGAAGGTCGCCAAATGGGGCCGCAAGGTTGGCCGACGCATCGAACGCGGCGTCCAAATTGCCCGGCGATGGATCGAACGCGGCCAGCAACACATGGACACGGTCCATCGGAGCAAAGGACTGGTCCAAGAAGTCGGTGGGTTCTTTGGACGTGGATTGCAAGACGGCCAGCCGAAAGACAACGAATACGACAGTACTGCTAAGACAGCATAGAATGTGCCATTCACTTGTGCATCTAAGGTCCAAAGAATCCGAGTTTGAAATGCAGACTCACCACGCCATAGTTTGCTAGCGCTCCTTCAGCACTGGTGCAAGGTATCAAGCAGGAATGTTTCCAAGGCGTGTCATTCAGCATCGTTAACTCGCTCCAAACATCGAACAGATGAGCTATAGCAGGGCTCGTATCGCTCATTTGCTCGCGTTTTACAAGATGTAAGCCCCACTGAGGCTGTGTGACCCTTGAGACACACAATGCTAAGAGACACTTGTATATTACTATGCAGAATCCATCGCAGGATGTCTTAAAAGAACTGTTTCCATGGCTTCCCTCGAAGTCATAAACACCTCCACTACAGCTCGGCGATGAAGTACGTGCGGTTATATCTCATGCCCATGTATGGTAAAGGTGGGACTGATGCCCTTCGCAACCACACGTTCATTCATCGCACATTGTAGCTGTCGTAGCCACTTGCTCGCCATGACACCATAAGCAACACGTTTTAAATTTTTTCGTCGGCATGCACGCAACGTATGTTGCAATTTGTCTTTGCTGGCGACGGCTAACGCCAATCACACGGTGTTGACGGAGTACACGGAGATGACGACGGGGAGATAGAATACCACGACCATCACGGCGTTGCCATGCATGTGTCCTTCCGCCAAGCTAGTCAACAAGCCAAGAGCATGGCTAATTAGGTCGGCCAACGTCTCGACCTCGGCAATGAGTTGGTGCAGCGTTATGTCGGACACGTGAGTAGAAAATCTACGACAGGGTGCAAACAAGCCCAAGGACTGGTCTAACAAGTCGGCGGGTTTTCGTCGCCGCCGTCGGTTGCGCAGCTTAGACGACGATAACACGATATCAGATCTGGGCTTGACGTTGCTGAGAGTGAGAAATCGAACTTTCCCACGAGCTGTAAGATCCTACCAACCACAGATATGCTGTATAGTTTTTACCAACCAGAAGACTGGAAACGATGGAGCTCCTTCCTTTGTGGTACGAGTGAAATATCGTGAAATTTGTACTACGTAGTATTAAGCAACAATACGTCGACGTTGGGTTTTCCTGGAAAATATTATCGTTTTCCTCAACTTTTCCGGATTTTGAGGTACTGCTCTGGTCACAAGAGCTGTTCCATGTTTCGACTTGAATATGGTATACTGGCCTAGCTCGAAACGTCTTGAAGTTTGTATTGGTCTCCGATTTGCAATATTGGTCGACGATATATTTATTGTATTTTTATT